GGTGCCCAATTTGAGACACCTTAAAGGAATCTGGTTGTCAAAGGCAGGTGCTCATCACTTTCTGAAAATCTGCCCACATCCCCTGCCCCTACACTCAGACTTCTTTTTAAAATAGAAAAGAAAAAGGAACAAAAATCCAGAGTTATTCATCTTGCAGAGCTGATCAGAAAAAGGCAGGAAGCTCCTGGCATCTTGTCTTCCTTGGCTCGTACTATAGTGACCACTCTATTGAGCTCTCCAGGAAAAGAGGAGAGTTTGTGCCTCATTACACAACTTTGTTATAATTTCACATATTACAGTTCAATTCACAAATAGCTCAGATTTTGTTTTATTCATTAAAAAACATCATTATACCACTCATCAACCAACACTGTAGCTTCCTAGCTGTCCCTCTTCAACAACCTCTCATCCTGCCTTCCAATCTAGCCTGCACCTTCCTCTCCCAAGGTAAAACAGTGTCCAAGCTATTAAAAGAGGCAGAACTACAGAACTGACATAAAGCAACTAACAATACTACTCCTGATTTCAGGTTACAGCAAGTGGAAGAGAGACACATTGGCCCTGATTCTTTTCTGTTACTTCTACCACTCTGTACCATTCAGATAATGCAAAGATGTTGGAATCTGGCCTTAGCTGGCCTGCTGAGAATTTCCCTGGCATGATTGAGGTCTATGTTGACATACAACCAGCACAGCCAACTCCTATACCAGCTGCACCCCCAGCATAGAGGGCATGGCACCTGAGCTTCGTCAATTCTTACCTGATGTATGGTGCCTTGGGGAGCATAGTCAGCTGGCATAAATAAGAACAGCCACTAATTTATGCCAGAGCTGTTGGTCTAATTTACACTGGGGCAGGGGCCCGGGGCCAGAGTAACTTGACAATCAGGAAGCAGTAACTGGCTCTCTGATTGGCATGACCCCCATCTAACCTGTGCTGAGCAAAGTCAGTGAAGGAGAGTATCAAGGCCTTAATCTCTTTCCTTTACCCATATACCCTACAGCTCATCCATAACAGAGATAACAAAAACTCCCCAAAGCAACAGAGGTCAACATGGCCTAACTGCAAGCCACAGGAATAGAGGTACAACAGAATGACAAACAAAATGGGACCCAGAAGGCAGAGTCTCAGGGGACATGATAAAACTATTCTCTCCTGACAGAATCCCTTAATGAAGTTACATTATACTGCATTTTTAGGTCTGCCTGTGCTAATTGTACCTGTGTGGAACTGCAAAGAGTTAAATAATGTATAGACTAAGTCCTATAAGTAGCACGGGGAGCCTGGAGGTTGGTAAATGATAGATAAAACATCTCTTTGGTCATAAGCCATTTCCTAACTTTGCTGCGGCAGATTTTTGCAGGCAAGGGAGTGCTGGAGGAGGACAGGGTTACATTACATTGACAATTGATTGACAGTTAGTTGCACCGAAGGGCTGAGACCATTCAGATTCTTTATGGGGCTAGCATTTTTCTTTGTCCCTTTTATGTGGCAATCTGCCATGATGCACACTCACTCTACTTTGGAGATGAGGGATAACCAGATGCCACGCTGCCGCTCCACTGGTTATTATGCAGCTTCCTCCTTCCCTCTTTCCCAGAGCACATCACATTCAAGACATATTCACCGTCTCGGGGGGCTAGAATCTTCTTCCTTCAGCTTGTCTCTGCATGCATCATGATACCACAGTACTAACAAGGCAACTGAGCACCATTCCATTCCTCTCACTGCTCAGTCTGTTAACTGGATTTTCGTATACATATATTTAATTTAACAGCTGTTATGATTAGGTACGATATGTAAATGAGATAGACAGGTTGCACCATATCATCCCACTTGACTTCCAGGATTACATCACAGGTTTTGTTATCAAAACATAACAAAGCCAGATTCTAGAGAGACAAGGTGGGTAAGGTAATATCTTTTGTTGGACCAATTTGTGTTGGTGAGAGAGACAAGCTTTTGAGCTACACAGAGCTCTTCTTCAAGTCTGGGAAAAGTACTTGGAGCATCACAGCTAAATACAAGGTGGAACAGATTGCTTTGCAAAGGAAGTTAGCACATATTCTAAGGGACCGTTCAAGGTGGAGTGGCCTGTTAAAACCTCTGCCGTCATAGGACCAAAAAAGGGGCAGGGGGTATTAATGGGTTACAGATTGTTGTAATAAGCCATAAATCCCATGTCTCTGTTCAGTCCATGATTTTTAGTGTCTAGTGGAGTTATGAATTTAAGCTCCCAGGCTCGTCTTTTGAAAGTGTTGTGCAGGTTTCCTTTGAGGATGAGGATTGATAGGTTAGATATGTAGTGATTGCTTTGTGAAAAGTGATCACCCACAAGTGATGTGATGTTTTTGTCTTTTTCGTTTTCCTGTGTGAGTTCATCCAAGAGCATAGTGATAGCCTGGTTTCACCCATATAATTGTTATTGGGGCATTTAGTGCACTGGATGAGGTACACCACAAGTTATGATAGGCATTTGTAGGACCCATGGATCTTGAAAGGTGTGTTGTGGGGGGTGTTGATAATTGTAGCAGTTGAGATAGGTCTGCAGGTTTTGCATCTGTTGTTCTGGCAAGGTCTGGTGCTGCTTTGAGTAGGTGTGTCCCGGTCTGTGTGGAACTTGCTTCTGATGATGAGTTTGGAGAGGTTGGGGGGTTGTTTGAAGGCCAGAAGAGGGGGTTCAAGAAAGATTTCTTTCAGGATGGTGTCCCCGTCGAGTATGGGTTGTAGTTTTTTGTTGATACCCATATGGGTTCCAGTATGGGGTGGTAGGTGACAACTAGGGGCGTGGGATAGGAGAGGATTTTATTTCTATATTGAAGCAGGTTCTCTCAGGGTATTCGGGTGGCCCGTTCCATGATGTGATCTACTTCTCTGGTGGAGTGTCTTTGTTTGGTGAAGACATTTTTGAGTGTGTTACGGTGTATATCCCAGACTTCCTCCTCAAAGCATATTCTATGGTATCTGAGTGCCTGGCTGTAGATAACAGATTTCTTAGTCTGTTTGGGGTCGTTACTGGATCTATGAAGGTAGGTATCATGATCTTGTATATCGTTGTGTGTAGGGTTCCATTGATGAAGCTGATCATGGTATCCAGGAAGTTGATGCTAGTGTGGGAGTGTTCCAGAGAGAGTTTAATGGATGGTAGATGTTTGTTGAAGTTATGGTGGAAATCTATGAGGGAGTTTAAGTCACCTGTCCAGAGAATGAAAATATCATTGATATATCCCTGGCATGTCATTGGCCTCATGGTGCATTTGTCCAGAAATTCTTCCTCAAGGTGAAGAAGTTAGCATATTGGGGAGCCATCCAAGTACCGATGGCTGTTCCCATGGTTTGGACAAAGTGTTTGTTATTGAATGTACAATTGTTATGGGTGAGGATGAAATGGGATGACAATGTATTTGGGGTGGATATCTGAGGGTTGACCAGTGTCTTGAAAATATTTGTAAATATTGGATCCTACACAGGCCTATCACAACATGTGGTGTACCTCATCCAGTGCACTAAATGGTTCAATAACAACTATGTGGGTGAAACCAGACAATCACTATGCTTTTGAATGAAGTCACTCAGGAAAATGATTAAAGACAAAAATGCCCTATCACCCCTCACAAAGCAATCACCCTATATCTGACTTATTAGGCCTCATCCTCAAAGGAAACCTGCACAACATTTTCAAAGGACAAGCCTGGGAGTTTAAATTCATAACTCCGCTAGACACTAAAAATCATGGACTGAACAGAAACACTGGATTTATGGCTTATTACAACAATCTGTAACCCATTAATCCCTCCCCCCCCCTTTGATCCTTTGACTGCAGAGGTTTTAACAGGCCACTCCATCTTGAAAGCTCCCTTAGAATATGTGCTACCTACCTATGAAAAACAATCTGTTCCACCTTGTATTTAGCTGTGATGCTCCAAGTACCTTTCCCAGACTTGAAGAAGAGCTCTGTGTAGCTCAAAAGCTTGTCAAGTATCAGGGGGTAGCCGTGTTAGTCTGTATCTACAAAAACAACAAGGAGTCTGGTGGCACCTTAAAGACTAACAGATTTATTTGGGCATAAGCTTTCGTGAGTAAAAACCTCACTTCTTCGGATGCATAGAGTGAAAGTCTTTGCAACAAACAAACAAAAAACCCTCCAAGAGTTTTGAAAGGGAACATAATCACTTGTGTTTCAGGGCATAAACCAACCTTTAACTAACGGGGATTGAGAAGAAGCTTTCCGTGTGAGCAGTTTATTCCATAATTGCTTTCTTTGTGAAGCAACTAGTATTGGCCACTGTCAGTCAGAGTACTGGACTAGATGGATCACTGGCCTGACCCAGTCTGGCAATTCCTATGTTCCTATGAATTTGTGATTAACATAGTTTAAAATATACACTTTTCTGTGCATTCTGTACACAGGTGTAGGTGTATAGGTGACATCCATGAGGAAATCCCTCACATTGCTAGGCACAAAGGCCCAGATCCTGCCCACTCAGCATGCAGTGGCACAGCACTGGATCCATGTGTCTCGGGCCCTTGGTGACCATGGAGGAGCAGATAGGCTTTGCCTCAAAAACAAACAAACAAAACAAAAAACAAACCAAAAAAGCAACCCTGCTGTAAACAAGTCATAGCGATAAGGTATCAGGAACAATTGAATTACAGCAAAATCAGAGAGCTCTTTTTTCAGTCCTGATCATTTGCTCTTTCATGGTCTCAAGGTAGTAGGGGATATCAGTACTGAAAACAAGCACATCTATAGAAGAAACTTGAATACAACAGTTTTGACTTTGTTGTGTGTTCTTTCACTGCAGAGTGCTGCTCAATATTTCTCCACTTGCCATTGTCACTGGTGATTTTTATCATATAATTACAATATTACACCATATCTAATATTATGGCAAACAAAATCTTGCAGCCTGGGTTACAATTTTAATCTGTAATATATTTGTCAAGTCTCTCAAAAACCAGGAATCTATAATTATGTGTTGAAATGTTGCCTCACTTACCAACAGATATGGTCCAAACAGCAATTATTTTTGTGAAAGCCTTAGTTCTGGAGTTAAAGCGGCTGTGATGGATGGGATTTCGTATGGCAATATAGCGATCCAGAGAGATGGCACAGAGGTGCATGATGGAGGCAGTGGAGAAAAGCACATCCAAATAGATCCAGACAGCACAGAGTTTTGTAGGCAGTGGCCATGTATATGCTGCAAAGGAGAAAGTTAGCATCAGCTAAGCAGAGTATAAATGGATGGATGAATTGCTTATAACTTTACCAAACTTAACCATTGGGGCTGAGATGTTGTTGGCCTGCTTTCTGGCTCAGGCTGATTCTAAATACATAGGCATTTCTGAGAAAGATGTTAGGGAAAAATAGGCAGTTTTGTCAAAGTAAACCCATTTCTCCAGTTTTCTTTGAAGAGCTCTAGCACCTGCAGGGTTTGGAGCAAATTTAGCAGGGAGACGGTCCTGGGAGCAGAGAAATGCATTTTGTTTTTCCTGTGAAAATACATACCGATTAGACCAAGTTATAAGAAAATTGGCCTTTGCTCATGGTCAGTAGATCTTATGAGAGGCCTGCTGCTAAAATCTCTGAAAGTTCCATTTGCACTAAGCATGCTCCAGTCCCACGGTGCTAACCACACTGAAGGTCCCAGGCAGAGAACTAGAGCTCCAGATGGGGATGATGTGGAAGCTATAGCAGCAGCTGCTGCTACCCCTTTGGCACAGGGCAGAGTTTCCTAAAGTGTGTGTGGCATTTGAAGGACTAGCTGGGGGTGTGTGGAACAGGGGCAGTGCAAGTTTCCCCATGTTGTCCTGCTAACATGACAGGGTGGAAGGGGAATGCACTTGGCTTAATTTTTCTGAAGTGTGTCTCAGTTTTCAGTCTGAGAAATACTGGCCAAAGAGCATAAAGTGAGTGGAAGCTGAAGGGAGTATAGCTCTCCCTTCCACTAAAACCATAGGAAGAACTCCTCTGCTCTCCCTCTTTCTTGGCTGGAGCAGTGAGAGCTCCCCTTCCTGTTTCAATGTGCTCTGCCCACCAGGGAAGGTGTGCTGAGTGCTAGGGGGAGACAGTGAGTTCTAGTCTCAGCTCTTCCACTGTACACTTCATGGTCCTTATTATTAAGCAAGGCCTTCCCCAACCTGAGGAGGCAGGCAAGTATCATTCCTGCATATTACAGATGGGATAACTGAGAAGTATCATGAGGTCTTTTGTGACAGTGTTGAGAATAGAACCAAGACACCGGATTCTGTGCTGCGCTTCTCAGAAAGTGTCGTATAGAGAAATGGGGAGGAAAGTTGGTTTTAAATCACCTTTGTACCTCCCAGAGTCTGGGCTACTCTAAGAGCTGGGTCCATCCCCAACATAAATTAGGGGTCCCAGAGACTGCTCTAATTTACAGCCTTACACAGATGCCCATGGGATTCCTCACAGCTCAGAACTGCTGCAGCACAGAGCTTTGCCTCCGTCCCCTGGCATGCCCCTATGCTGAGGGCTGCAAGAATGTGAAGAGTAGGGCCAGAGGCCCAGCCCTGGAGGAATTCCCCAAGTGGCCACTCTGCATCGTTTACAGCCCCTATATACCATTCTGGGGACCAGAATTTGTCCGTAGATTTAATATGGTAGACTCAAGTTTCAGCCATTTAGCCACAATGCTTTTCTGAAGGGATGTGCCAAATTTATGTGTTTGGCTGTGCATATTCCCCTCCAGAGCCAGGAATATAACCCCAGGTTCTGGATTCCCAGTATTCCCCTGCTGTCCAGCAAACAGTTATCTAACATTGGCGAAACGTGTCACATTCTTCTCTAGTGGCTGGTCCCCATAAAGAGTAACGTCCTCCTCCTCCTACTACCAGTTACTTCTTCAACAGAAGCAGTAGAGATCTGTGCAGTGGATTGAAAGGTCCTGGGCTCCAACTCTACTAATGATATGTGTAGAGGAACAAGTTTCCACATGAAGGAATATCCCTTTGTCTTGTGTTCAAGGCTCTGGACTGCTATGTAGGAGAGCTGCGTTCTGCTCCTGCTTCTGCTACAGACTTCCCAAGGGATGTTGGACAAAATGTTATTGTAATGACTACGCACAAGGAGGTTGAGTTAAAGCTGCCTGGGCAGAATTTATTTTTGTCATTTCTTATCTTTTTAACCTTTGACTTTGCAACCTTAACATTCTTTTAATGGATTTTTTTGGGTATGTATCTATAGAAAATCAGAGAAGGGCCATTTTTTGTATGAAGGTAATTGTATAGCACAAGTACAAAAGGGACCCAATCCCTGTTTGAGTCCTGGCCGATACTGAAATACAAATAATATTGTATGTATGTTAATACACACCCACACCCACACTTCAGATTGAGGCCCAAGCCACATTCAAATCTGCATTTCAACCATTTCTCCAACACTCTAAAGTTTAGAGCGTTCATATCCAGGCTTTTGATCTGGGGTGCTAGTAATTTATACGTAGAGGGGGCATTCAGACCTAAGGGATCATTTCTGTTCCCACTTAAACCAATGGCCAAACTCTTACTGACTTAATCTGGAATTAGATGAGACTCTAAAAGTCTGCAATAGTGCTGAGCAACTCTCCAGGTGCTGCGTGCCCTGATGATGGGAGTTTAAGGTGCTGGCTCCTTATAGGATTGAGCTCTTAAAGCCAGATTATCAACGGTATTTAGGTGCCCAACTCCCATTGATTTTGAGGATCTGGGCCATAATGACTTCTGGTTTGAGTTCAGTGCAAATAGCACCAGAAGTGCTTTGATGCCTGGGATAATATGATCACAGGTTAATGGGAGTCTGGAAACTGGCTGATTCCTGGCCTTTTGCCTCTGATAGTTGGGGTGAAGTTCGTAGTTCTGGCTGGGGTAGGGGGGTTCTCTAGAATAAACGGTTTGCTGGTCATTGTGATGCTGATAATGTATCATGCTGATGCTGCATTTCTAGGAAAGCTCATGCCAGAATGACTGAGTGATTTTTCAAAGGCATGTATCCTGGAAAGGGATCTTTCCTCTGGCAAAAGACATCACACTGCAAAGGAGAAAAAAGAGAGAAAAAAATAGAGAAGAAGCAAAGTGAGAGTCCTTCCTCTGTCAAATGGAGGGGACGGAGTTTTTCTCCTTTGCAGGGATCATGCAGCTGCCCTCCTATTGCTGTGTGTGTATTAAGGGTGCATTTGACCATGTAAATATTGCAATTAAAATAAATGAATGGTCACAATTTAATATGGATTTCTGAGCAGAGGCAGGGATTAGCTTCCTCAGTGGCAGGGACTGGCCAGCAGGAGTCTCTGTTGCATGTGTCAGTGAACCATCCAGGGCTTGAGTCTTTCACTTATCTCACAAATCAAGCAATTACTGCGTCTCTGGCACTATTTTTCATTAGCTTCCCCACTACCAAAGGTAATGATACTACTGATACAATCAGTCACAGGCCCATGCCAATTCCACACCTAATTTGATAATACTATTTAGGGTAGTTTGTCTAGATCACAGGGAAAGTGAAAGAGGGAGATTTGGAAATAAACTCTTATATTGCTGTTTCCTAATAAAATCTTCCTAAAGTTACAGTTTAGTGGCTGATGATTTAGCTTATTGAAACAAGCCTAGAAGCTATTTCATCTCATGTCTCTTCTCTTCTTGTATTGGGTATTTTTCTAAGTTTTGAAGGAAAATTACACAAAAATAGGAACATATTTTCATTTAACACTTAGGCTGCTGCTTTTCAACCTTCTCTGCTGTGTAACAGAGGCTGCTGAGGATTTTGGTCAAAATAACAAACTTCCATTACCAATCTCAATAAACTGTGTCACAATTCAATTTACACCTTCAAATTACTCATTAGAATACATAGATAAAGATCTTGATATTTGATTATTAATTTGTAAATGTTACTAACAATTGGGCACAATTAAGTCTATCTACTTTTCAGCCTCCTTCAAAACACTTATTCCAACATTTCATGGTAGCTAATGAAATTTAAAGGTAGACCTATAAATAAGGATCTCAGTGGAAAGATAATTATTTAGAAATGAAATAAAATTAAAAATAGAGGCAGGCTATTTTAACTCTGAGAGCACCAAGTCATTAATGCTTCTGTGCCTATTTGCAGAGCAAAGTAATTGACAGGACGTTACTTACTTATTAGTAACACTGAAAACTATGCGTCAAAGATAAAACTGATACAACAGAAAGGACACAATATCTGATAGAAATTATAAGACAATTCCATCATAATCAAAGTGGCAAATTGACATTTTGGACTGTGTTTAAAATATCCATACTTAAAAGTTAAAACTAAATAAACATGTAAATATTGCATCTGTTCTTTACATACATTTACCCCTTATAGTTATTTTTCACCTTGCACAGGGAGGTGGCAAGAATATACCTTAAAACTAGCCTGTATTTACATTTTCCTTATCAAGCTGAAATAATAACAGCGTGTGCATGCAATTTTTAAAAAGCTACTCAATGTATGGAATAGGTTAGACAGGTGATACTCACCATACAGTATGGTTAACATTGACACAGGCATGACAAGGAAACCCAACAGCATATCAGCTATTGCAAGTGACATTAGAAAATAATTAGTGGCATTCTGTAGCTTTTTCTCCAGTGACACAGCCATGATAACAAGAATATTTCCAGCAATGGTTAGAACAATCACTATAACTGTCAGCAGAGCTGGCCAGTTTTTCTCTGGAAGATGAAATAGTGATGAATAACACGGCGGAGTCAGGCTACCTTCACATGAAAGATTAGTTAGGTTTTCGGAGTCCACAGTCAAGTTAAACAGATGAGATGCATTAACCTCTCCAGGCACAAAAACATTTTTGTAGAGTCTTCGCTCATGATTTAATTGGATTAAGGAGTTTGCAGTTGGGTTCTCCTCGTCACAAAGAATATCCATTGCTAAATCTGAAACCCGGGAGGATGTACAGTGAAAAAACAGAAAGTTATAACCCTTTGTCACCATCAGGCTTTATATTCCTCTGTTCAAAGCTGATGCTGGTGGAAAGAAGGGACTCTTTTTTTGTTGATTGTTTTTTCATCATTAATATGACTGAGAAAACTGATGGAGTTATTCTGGTTGCTCAAAGACTTTTTTTTCAGTTTCATGTAGTCCAATATCAGCATCTGTTAAAAATCCAGTAGAAAAGCAAAACTAACTTACAGGCTAGAAAATGTGGACTCGAGGCTTCAGAGAGCAAAAACATTGGCCAAAAAACTTTTGCAACCACCAGGACTCCCTTCTGTAGCTACATCCTATTGCTATTGGTAACTGTAATCACACAGTTTTAAACACAGCAGTATGAAAATAGCTTGCCATACAAAACAGCAACGCTCTCTGTGCTCTGCCTTAAGAAAGTTGATTAAAGATTCCATTCAGCATCTTACTCTCACAATAATTAGATATGCTCTTATTTATAGTTCATCTTCAATATTATGGCTGATAGTCTCTGTCTTCTGTCATATTACAATATCATTTTAAGTCTCATACCAAAATTACAAGTAATGTTCCATATTGATTTTAATATGTAATTGTAATGATTACTTTTTAGCCCAGCATGGGCTTCAAAATAGAAATAAAATGACTAAGTACTACAAGTATAAAAAAAATACAAGATAAGGTAAGACTTACATTGTACTTCAGAGCCCACACTCAAAGTGCATTAGAGTCACTTTGTACCCTGCTTTATTGTATCCTTCACTGTGTTATCCACTTTTGTGTCCTTTCTCTTCAGTCTCTACAAAAATGATTGTATTTTGATTACAGTTTTGTTGACTTCTACACTGTACATTAGAGTGAAGCCAGTTCCTGTGCTGCGAGTCTTGTTCTTTTCTTCTGAGAGATGGGCAGCGTGCTGTCTCTTTCCTTGTGCTTTCCCCCCCTCCCTCCCCAAAGGCAAACTACATTTAAAATAATAATAATATTAGAGCCCTTCTCAAAGTGACACAAAAGAAATCACACCAATAGAAGGAGCAGTCTCCACAAAGGGATTACTGATTTCAACAGGAATGGAATTTCTTGCTCACTGCCTTGTTCAGTTTGTCAGACCTCCCACTAGCTAGATGTCATAAACTGCAAGGTAGCAACAGCAAAGGAGGGCAGACCAAATAGGGTATTTTTTTAATAAATACCAGCTTTTTCATGTTATCATTTGGAGGGCTTAGTTTAAAAAAAATTACATTTTTCATTTGTATAGGATGCTGGGTAAAGCAGCTGCATGTGCTGATAAAATTTTACAGGGTGAAGTTTTTAGGAAGGCAATAAATAAGTCTCGTAATGGTACATGCTGGTAAAATTGTAAACATACAGCTTTTTCCATCCTAAAGGTTGCAGCTTTTATGCTAACCCTAAACTGAATTAGTAACATTTAGATTTTTATAATTTTATTTCTGGGTCTTCACTGATGTCATAACCAACTCGCCAACAGATATTTATTATATATATGTAATATATATATCTTGATAATAAATATAATACATATAACATATATATCCTGATGACAACACTGCATATATACCCTGATGTCATTTTTATTTGTCAAGAGCTGGAAACTACAATTAACCTCAATAACCTGTTTGAAAGAAAAACATCCCAAGTGAAGTAATCCAATCAGGTAAACACTGTCTAGATTAAATAGTGAAAATAAATGCTCTTCCAGGATTACGGCCTATTCCTTTGTAACGTTTGTATCAGGATGCCTGTGGGGAAACTAGCTAACTGATACACTGCTCTACAGCCAAAATGCTTCTGAAATAAATGTAGTCCAACTTTACTAATTCTGGGTCACTGAGAACGAAAATGATGCTTAAAAT